TTCATCTCATCAATACCTTCTACGACACAAGACATTCTATAACTATTATCCTTCTGTCCTAAATGTCATGATTTAACACAAGGCATGGGATGTGTATCCTTGTATAGTTAAATCAGCTGTTACTGAATCTCAAGTAGACTGGCAGGGATCAGATATTTATCAGTCTCTAGATAGCGACATATCTGGGCATGGCCATGCACTTTCCCAAGTCCTACTATTCAGTGGGCCCATTGACATTATACTTCTATACAGTAGAAGGGACAGATCCTGTATCTGTTATTCACATCTCTAAATATGCTTAGCGGCATACCCAACGCATAACTGTACGTCTACCAGTATTTCAGATAGCATTAGTTATGAATCAAAGCATACGGCCCCACATATCAGAGAATGTAATAACTTCAAGTCTGAGGATAGTTATAGCAAGGTCGATTTGAGAATACTGATAAACACATTACTGTAGATCCATGCAGTATTCTCAAGATGGGTCAATCCAGTCACATATTATCAATATAATATGCACCTACGTACAGATTAAGATATCACAATACCTATAGTCTATGAGACGCAACTATCTCATCTCGTACGTACTAGTCTTGATACGTTATGACGTCCGTATTATCATAAAGTGCGACTAGGGATATTCTAGACACAGCCTTCGTCAAGAAGTAATAGTCTCATAATCAGAACATCGTAGTCCTCATCTATGTTACTGAAGCGCTATCGTCTATGGACTGAAGCTATGTTATGTTACACGAGATATAAAACATACTTCAAGGCCTTTCATTCATGATAAAGTGTACAGTTACATAGGTATTTGATTGCCGCTAGGGCACCTAAATACAACAGAAAAAGTCTACACGCTCAGTAATGAAGCTAAGTGGTACCATGACACAACAAAAGAATTCACAGAATAATTTCTTAAACAATACCAATCACATATATATGTTCAAATATTTGCTTTTCATATTTAAATCTGTCTACGTCATTTTAACAATAATAATTAACAACATCATTCAAACTTATATAAGAATCAGTCCACACTTCACAATAATCACATGTCATTTTTATTATCACAATATTCATCATTTGACACATAATTTCATATCAAGTTTTATAAAAAATAATTGCTCTTAACTTATTCCAAGCTAAGGCCAAATCATAACAATTCTCTTAAACTATTCTTAGTCTAAGGCTAATTTAATTCTTAAACTAATTCTAGAATTTTAACAGATTTTCAAAAGATGTTTTTTTTAATCTTAAACTTACCTTCGCTTAAGGTCAACTAGAAACCGACAGCGTAGTGTTAACTGTTGGGTTGGATGGTGCCCCAGACGAGTAGGTACTAAAGTTTGGTTCTTGGATCTCGTACATACGTTTTAACCGTGACCACCAAGCATCATACCCGCAAGGCCTAACTTAAATGGGTATATCTTAGAGTTTTTTTAGATACCCTTCAAAATTAACATCACTATGGGTATATCTTAGAATTATTCTAGATACCTTGAAATCAATATTAATTAACTAAAATGGTCATTTGGGTATCTCTTAGAGTTCTTTTAGATACCCTTCAATTGAACATTAATATGGGTATATTTAGATACCCTTAACAGTACATATTATTTTTACAATCATCAACATATTCATTATGATTTAGTCATTCATGATTAGCATTTTAAACAGAATATTCATCAAGGTTTAATCATCATAATCATCAATCAATAATCATCTTCATAATCATCAATTAGTAATAATCATCATAATATGCAATAACAAATAGTGGCCTAGCTTCGGGTGTTAACACCCTAGCTTACCGTCATGCATCAAACAAGATTAGTTATTTGTCAAAAACATCATATTTATTTTTAAAAATCATGTCCATATTGATTGTAATCAAATGATATCAAAACTAGGATTTTACATTTTCAAAAATAGCATTTTCGTCTCAAAAATGTTCGCAACAGTCAACCGTTGTGTTTAAACGCTCGACCATACCGTTCTATACCAATTGCAATCGTACGGTACCTTGTTACGGTACCTCGATACCATGACACGGTACTCTGGTACCGTTAAACGGTATGTAATTACTACATACGCGCAAAGAGAAATGCATGTCACTATTCATCATGTTCAACCTTCGACCCATTTTTCTCAAAACATCATTTAAGCTTTTAAGCTTTAAACTAGCTTTATAAAAATGTTTTCTAACGTCGATAAATCATTCACAAACGATTTATTTGAAGCTTTAACAACAAAACAAGTTTGATGAATATGAATATCAAATATTTATATTTAAAAATATATATGAATCAATAAGTTCAAGGATCATTCCAATGGCTTCTAAAGTTCTTTAAAATCATGGTACAGACCTCGAAATCAACGAGATAAAGCTCAAAAAACCAACGGGAGCGAAAACAATGTCGGAAATCTTAAAATTCGTCACTTCCCGTCACCACTGTACCAGCCCTGGTTTTTGGGTCATATCTCCTTCCTTACTTAACGAAATCGAGAACCGTTTGAAGCTACAGATTTGTAAGACATAAGGCTACACCTTTCAATTAAAAACCAGATTATAATAACGAGGTTTAGAAGGTGTAAAAATGCTCAAAACTACGCTGATTTGCACTGGGATGTTTTCTTCATTCAACTTTCCGGGGCAACTTCGGGCAAAAACCGTGGCTACCTCCGGCAATTTTGACGGTAGCAAACTAAGGCGGTTTATTCCTTATACTCTAATGAAACTATAGGAAGAAGAATGAAGAATTTTGGTGGAGAATTGAAGGAAAGATGGTGCTCCATTTATAGGGGAAGAAGAAGATTTTTATGAAGTTTGATGACTTCATTTGGGGTGATCCTCTTTGATCATCCGTTGGGCGTAGTGGGGGTGGCGGTTTTTGGAAATTTCACATGTTTGTCCCTGATTGGGACTAAAATGGTCCCATTCGGGGTTTACTTTTCGATCCAACTTTCTCCAAATTGAAATCTGATTATACCGTTGTGGTCAGACAGTCAAGCTCTACGTGACAATATAATTTTCATATTTTTTAAATACTTTTTCTGATACCATATTTTAGGATGTTGACTTTGACAGAGTCAAAATTGAATAAATTGACATATAATTAAAAGTACTTTCATATTTAATCAATATTATTCAATTTGAATAACTTATTTCAATAAATCATTTTACAAAAGTGTACTTTCATATTTTAATGAAGGTTTTGAGAATTTTCTGGCGAAACAATAGGCGACGATTACTCTCAACTCTGGCGACTTCGACGGCAATCAACAACCCCAGACTACTCTTCTTACTTTCAAGATTCTTATGGACTAATTTTCCGAAGGAATGATGCATATTTGAAGGTTTTGAGTACTTCTTATATAGGAAATTGATTCGTAATCGGCTGAGTGGAGGAGGAGGCATCGTTCGCACAGTGTCCCTGATTGAGACCAATTTTGGTTTCAGTCAGGGTACACCTTTTGGTCCAACTTTCTCCGAACCGAATTCCATTTGCACCATTGCGATCAAACAGTCAAACTATATTTAATGATATAATTTGTATATTTATTTGTAATACTTTTTCCAACATCATATTTTTAGATGTTTGACTTTGACAGAGTCACAATTGGTTTGATTGACCTTTATTCAAAAAGGTTTTCTTAATTAATTCATATCATTTATTCTCATGATATATTTCAATAAATCATTTTGAAGTTCACATCATAAATAATATCTTCATTTATTCTTGATTTTGGGTCTGTACTCAAGTTCCCAACCAAGGTCACACAATAAGTCAACATGTTGGATTTACCTCTATGAGATTTATCAAGATTGTGATATTATTTATATATCAGAACAAATTTTATTTCAGCCCAAAGCCCAACAACAATTTATTTTAATAAAATCAAATTTGATTAATCGAATTATTATTCATTAATAATTCTAGGATATGTTTTGAGGCGTTACAAGCTTACTCCATAGTCATTAATTAATGACAATTGATGCACGCCCCGCTGCAAAGGAAATAAGAGAGATTTTTTTTAAAATCTTTGTATAAAATATTGATGTGACTTTGATTTGGCATGTGGCACCATAGAGTATCTTTCGAGACTACCACACTAAGGCTCCGTTCCGTTCAACTTATTTTTTTCTAATCTGATATGATTTTTTGTAGTTTTGATCTGATCTAATTATATCTGATCTGATCTGCTGTGATAGGATCTGATTTTATCCGGTCTAATCTGATTGGATCTGATCTGATCTGATTGGATCTGATTTGGTCTGATCTTATCTGATTAATTATAATTTGATTTAAAATTCAAATCAATAATTTGATTTGACTTTATAATAACGTGTGAGAATTGTAATGATAATTCATAATATAATATAATCAATATTTTTTGTTTTGTGATTATTTTTTAATGAAATAAAATTAGTTAATTCATATAATAGAATTACCATTTATATTATAATACACTAATATTTTTATTTTATGATTATTTTTTTATGAAATAAGAATATTGATTTAATATTTTAATAATTAGTTCATATATACATTAGAATAAATATTTAATAAAAATTAATTAATTTAGGTAAGCAATATAGAGAAGAGATAGTATTTTCATTAAAATATCTCATCCTTATAAAATATCAACATGTGCTTTGTACTACGAAACTTTTTTTATGATTAATATAACACCATACATATAATAGTTATTTCATTTACACTAAAATATACTCCATATATGAATATCAAATGTTAATTTTATTTAAGTCATGATCAAAATTGATCAACTCAATGTAGTAAAAGATCAAAACTTTAGAAACTCAAATTACACATAGCAATAAAAATGTATTTTAAAAGTAGAATTAGATTGACATTGTCAATATATTTTAAAAATAATTTTTCTTCCGTCTAATAATTAAGGACTACTTTCTCAGTTTTCTATTTAACTTGTTTCTAAAGTTTATTCTTTTTCATTTTTAATAATAATAATAATAATAATAATAATAATAATAATTCTTGATTGGATCTGCTCTGATCTGATCTGGTCTCATCTGGTCTAATCTAATCTGATCTGATTAGATTTGATTTGATCTGATCTGATTAGATCTGATCAGATTTGGTCTGGTCTGATCTGATCTCATCTGATTTTAATAAGAATAAGAAAAAAGCAGAAAAAATAAGTTGAACGGAACGGGGCCTAATAGTTCTCATAGGTCACATTTTACAGCTAGCCCATTAGGGGTTACCTGGTCCAGAAAGTGTACCATTTTTAATGTCACCAGTTTCACCAATCTTTGTCACTTTAGCTCTGCACGGTTATTAATCAGATTTGACATAAATGTAACAGAGGATTTGCGCAATCTTTCACCAGTCAATGTAATTTTTTTTTGAAATAAAAAATGTATTTCTTACATGATTTTTAATGATATAGACGAAAATTCTAAAGTCAAATAAATAATATTTGAAGAATTGAATGTGTACTCAACAAAGTGTTTTTTAATACAAAATTTTGTAATAGATTTTAGGATATACAACATTTTTTGTATGGTTGCTAAGATTTCTATTGTCATCTATAACCAATATTTGTAATCTTGTCTTTGTCTTTAGTCTTGAAACAATAACATAAAGCTGACCATGAATGAAGAATGAATTGGTTAAATATAATCCAACAAATTACAATGTTGACCTTGACTTTTGTTGATAGTCATTGCAAAACATAAAACTATTGGGAATTATCCTCTCTAGAACTTCAGTTGTAGTCCTGGATCAGATGGTTCCAAATTCATCCGAGTTATGTATACCTTTTCTCCGACTCTATTTCCCAAAACCATTAAAGCATCGATAACACTCTTTCACAGCTATTCAAACTATTTTGATACCTCTTTTTAAAAATTATTTTTTGGTTTGACATCTTCGAACATTTGAATTTATTCGAAAACTCAACTGTTATCCAATCGCCATCAACACTTACACCTAAATTTGCCTGGCATGAATAATCAAAACTCTTCATCTCCAGGAATGAAGGATATGAAAAAATCATTTACCATTTCTACAACCTCAAGCATGGGTGCGAGTAGTGCCCTATCCTCGAAAAGAGAATAATTTTTTAGATAAAAAATATTAGTAATCCTATGATTCTGAATGAAAAATTGTAAATACATTTGGCAAATTTTATTTATTTTTTCTTTTAGGTTTGAATAAGTAATCATTCAAGCCCGTAAATTTTTGTTTTATAAGATATTAATTTATAGATTTAAATATACATGAGTATTTTATATTTTTACGTTAATGTTTAAACCAATAAAAGAATAGCTAACTTCATTTAATAAGCATATCATAAACAAGTATAAAATTTATTTGGAGACAAAGAGAGTATCTTTTTTAATGAAAGAAATCTTATCTATTCATTGAAAGTTTTATTACTCCCTCCGTCCATGTATGATCTTCCCATTACGTGTTACGAAGCTTGACCGACTTTATTTTCAATTCAATTTAATTGATTATAGGAGTAAAATTTTAAAATAAAATTTATATACTAATAAACTACATGAAAAGTATACAAAACTAGAGGTGACAAGAATATATTATTTTATGAAATGACTAGTAAAATTGAGTAAACAAAGTGAGTAAAGTTTGACCCTGTGAATAGTGACTGGGAAGATTTATGGTGGACAGAGGCAGTATAAATTAAATTGAAAAGAATGTAAAATTAAAAAGAATATTGTAATAAAAAAGAATACATATATTCCATATTTAAATTTATTCGATGATGTTGAAATCATAAAGAATGTTTGTGTAAACATAGTATGGTATGGTGACACTTATTTTGATTAACTATATTCTATATTTTAATTTAAGTATCATTTGGTAATAGATAATTAAAAATAACATATTTTTAAATTTAGATCATAAATGGTCTAAAACGTAATAAGTTTTCTACTCATTAAATCAAATCATAAAATAATATATTTAAACTATTAAATTATGTGTAGTATTTTTTCTAGTTGAAGATTAGTATAAACAAATCATATAGTATTTTTTTAGTTTTATATCATTATTTTAACAAATAGATTCAAAATTAATTTTTTTAAGCATATCCTAAACAAATACTCGTATAATTTTTTTAAGGGTGAAAAGAGTTACGTGTTTATTAATTGAAAGCTTTGTTATACATAAAGAGAGAAAAAATATTGAATTAGAAAAGAATATTATTATAAAACGAAAATCTAAATTTTATATTTAAATCTATTCAAAAAATGTCATCCTAAAATATTTATTTCATAATTTCTTGTCTGAAAATTAAGTGAAATAAATCACATAATAAATACACATATCAACTTTCCATATGAGTCTCATTTGTATATATAAAAGATTTATTAAAATTTAAATAATTTTATTTTGAATAAAAATTAAAATTTTAATTTCATATCATGTCAAGTATTATTTGTAGTATATTAAATTGTTAATCACACATTGAGTTGTTTTTGAGTGAATGTTAAATATTTATTTAAGTATATTATATATTTACCTAACTTGTAATTGATTGCCTTTCATAAATTTCTAACAAATTATTTTTTTTATTGTCTTACATAAATAAATGATAACTTGTCAAAAAAAAGTGCCACATAGATATTGCCACATGTCAATTTTTTAAATGTGATGGAAAATGACATGTAAAAAATAGCCTAGTAGACATTACACATGTCAAATTTCTAGGAGTTTAACTCTCCTTTTTTATATATAAAGATAAAGATATACTCAATAAAGCAACCACACACTTACCCAAAATTTGGCCGAATGAAAGTAGCCCGTTTTGCAGTGACTCAACCCATTAATTTGGCCGGGAACACTGTTCATTTTTGTCTCAGACCTTTGTATATATTAAGATTAAGATGTTTTCAAAAAAAAAGATTAAGATTATTGGGCTTGAGTAATATAATAAATCTAGTGTTGGGCTAAATATAAAATAAAAAATCGGCCCTTATATTTTGGAGGCTCTATGCAAGTAAACCTAATGCACTTGCTTATGGGCGCCTGGGCGGGCCTGCCGTTCCGGTTACCGAACCACATGACACTGAAGAGGTTTAGATGTAAAATCGAATCCATACAGAATGGTTTGAAAAATACAGAACTGTTACGAACTCGTGCGATAATTTAAATCAAATTGAAAAATTAAGTGCTGGACCAAAAACTGGCACAGCTGAACGGATAAAAGACCCATGCCACAAACACAAAGGGGTAGATGAGTAAATCACGATTTCCATACTACAGTAGTAAAAAAAAAGACAGAAAGATACTAGATGAGATTACTTACTCGTGAGTCGAAAAGTTAAATACACAGATTAATCACTAACCAAACAATTACCAAAACTGATCTATCTATCATAAGCAGCAGAGTCGTATCTCAATTGGCAAGAACTTCCCAAATCAATTCCGGATCAAACGATGGCATCCTCGCAAGGGTGCAATATTCAAACTCAGATTCCAGAGAAGCCACCCCCAGAAAATCACTCTTGCACAGCTCATCATCTCCAGAAACGCTACTCGTTGAGACCATATCGCTAAACCCCGAAAAGGAAGAAGGCGACGAAGGAGACGAAGAAGATTCTATTATCAGAGTCGAATCGCGATTCCTTATTTCGCCGTTTCCCGAATTCTCCTTTGGCCTGATTTTGTTGGCTTCCTTTTTGGATCTGCTCTCCCTCTTGACCCTCTCGGAAGCTGCTTGGATCTTAGCATCCACGGCGTTCCTTACGGCCATCAATTTTGGGCCATGTCCCAAACCCAGCACGCTCGTCTGATCGGAGAGGTTCGGGAAATTCAAGCGGGCGTACTCGCCGCGAAGCTTGTAGGCGGCTCTGTCATAGGCATAAGCTGCCGTCTCAGCAGTGTCATAAGTCCCCAACCAAACTCTCATTCTGTTCTGGGGAAGTCTGATCTCCGCAACCCATTTCCCCCAGTGCCTCTGCCTCACTCCCCTGTACAGCTTCTTCTTCATCGGGATCTCGTACCCGAATGTGTTCGTCGGACTCGTTCGCTGTGCAAGAGAGGTAACTCTGTTTTCTCTGCAGAATTTCTGGATCATATCTGTGTCTGAGATAGACTGAGGAACCAATTGGCTCTGGAGCAGCGCTGTTGTGATTCTGAGCAGATTCCAATATATTAGAGAAAATTGAATCGATTGAAGGCGAAGATTGTGTTCCTGCATCCCTTCCATATTCCATATGGATGCTACTACTTTCAAGAATGCAGTGCATTTTTTATTTTTATTTTATGTTTTGGCAGCAGAGAGATGTAGGATCTGAGACCAAATTGAGAAATAGGGAGAGAAAGAAATCGGTAATTAACAAATTGGGTGGAGAAGACAAGAACACTCCGTATATATGTGATGTGAGGGAGTGTGGAGTAGTGAGATAAAGAGAGAAAGCTGTTGGGAATAGGGATCGAATGCGTGCTGGTTCTGTGTTATGAACGCGTCCTGCTTTGCTGTATTTATAGTGCCCGATAGATTAGGCTTACTCCCTATTCTGCAATCAGTGGTGTGTACTGTGCAAAAGTTTAAAATATATAATTTTTTTTAATTTTACACCTATAATCAAATAAATTAAATTGAATTTTACACTTATATAATTGCTCCATCATCAAAATAATGAATGATTATTCTACTCTCATATCCAATTGCATATCCCATACTAAAAATTACATTCAGTAAGTTTGAAAACCAAACAAAAGGATGAATTTTGAGGAAATAAAAATACTGTATGAAGAGAAAAAAAGTAAAAGCCGTGTGGAAATGGAGGATTGAATTTGGCCTCCAATCCAATCTAGAAAGAAAAGCTTTCATTCACATTGAGAGTTGACTATGAGCACAAGGAGGAAAGGCAGTACACGTCCACGTCTTGGCGGGTTGAAGAATTCAAAGAAACACAATGGCCCGACGTTAAAAAGCCACTTTTTGAATTCATTATTTCCAAAAGAGTCAGCACCGATTTGAAACTCGTCACTTTCAGAAAGCGGAGTTTCGGTCTGTCAAAGCCACGCGTCCATCCCGCAGCTACCCTCTGCCCTTTCGCATGTGATCATTGAAAGATGTGTTCTACTTTTCGTATTTATTGCAGGAAACAGTCCTGGCCACTTGTAAGCCGTTCCTTCCATAAAGCTACAATTTGTCTTCTTCTGCGGAATAATTGAAATGCTCTCTACCTCCAACTACAAGGGTTGTTTTGGAGGGGTCTCAAATTTTTTAGTTGTAGGATTCCTTTGACTGATCAGAAAATATTTTTATTTGAAAATTATTTTTAGAGGGAAATAACTTTCTTTAAAAATTACACAATTACAAATTGGACTTTTTGCAACACTGATGAAGTGTTCTGTTACATAATTTCTCGGTTTCCAAAAATGTTTTCATTTTAAGTTATTGTGATTTTTAGGAAAATTGAAAAAAGTGAAAATTTACCAAAATATCTTTAATGAATAATGGTTGAATATATTAACTGTGGTGGTTGAGATATAATAAATAAAGAAAGTAGGATAGTTGTGGTATTTTAAATGTTAAAAAATGGTAATGAGAGAATTAATGGAAGAAAAACAAATTATAATAGTTTTAACTAATATAATTATAATAGGGAGTAATCTAAAAGTGAACTTTGAAACAACTCCAATCAATTACTTCCTCCAATGCTAAAATTATCTTCTCACTTGATTCATCCTTAAGTTATCTTCTCATTAATGGAAAATTTTGGTATGTCAAATGACACAAATAACCCCCAACAAACAATACAAGAAAAAAGACTTTTAGCTACCGATCAATAATGAAGGATAGAAAAAAACTCTAATTAAATGTGTTAGAGCATCTCCAATCATGCTTGCTAAACATAGCTTGCTAAAGTTATTTACTAACATGTGAATAGTAGTATAGCAAGTCATTTCACATGATCATCTCCGACCTTTGCTTGCTATAATTTAGCAAAAATGTATTGATTTCACTATTAGAGTACATTATTTATTATGATTTTAAAATTTTATTATAAAAATTAATTAATATTCTACAAGTATGCAATTTAAACTTAAAACAAAATAAATTTTATAATTTTTTTGGTAAAAAATAAAATTATTTTTTTGTAAAAAACATAAAATAATATTTATTTATTTTTCTTGCGTTGTGGTACTGAGAGTGAGGGAACAAATGTGTCTATGGTACATGAAAAAACTAACTCAACCAACATTTTTCTTCTTCTTTTTGGCTTGCTATATTTTATCAAGTTTGTTATTAGTAGCAAGTCATTTTCATTTTTACGCAAGCTTGTCAAACATTAGCAAGTCCCTTGGAGTATGAAATTTTACTTAGTTTGTCAAATTCTAGCATATAGCAAGTCTTTTTAACATGGTTGGAGATGCTCTTATTCATATACTTTTTGTGACGGAAAAAATAAAAACCTCTAAGTAATTGTGTTATTCATATACTTTTTGTGACAGAAAAAATATTATAGTTATATATTTTTATCTTTAATGACCGTTTTTTCATTTTATTTTTAATAATAAAATTTTGTCACTATAGATATAGAACATTAATACTCTTATTATTAATTCAGATTTTGTTGTCCCTTAAATAAAATTAGAGTATACTCTTTATCAGCTGGGTTCGACTCACATTTCTTTATCGTTTTCTTTCATACTAAACAACTCATATTCATGGGTTATTAGTAAATCATTTTTTGTTTCATGAACTTGAGGTGTACCGTCATAAGTAATCATAAGTTTATTCCAAATTAGATTGGTGGTTTGGCACCGAGATATCTTTTGATAGTCATTGGTGCTGACGACACAATATAAAAAGTTGATGGTTGTATTAGCGTTAATTAAGCCTTCTTGAAGTTGGACTCATCCGGGATGAATGTATCCCCTACTTTCTTCATCGAAAAGCTATCTCCGTTCTTGCAGCGAGCCATAACTTATAATTGTTGGACTAAACCAAAATCTTCAATTCACTCCATCCAATAGGAGTAATTTGTTCCATAAACAAATGACAGTCATACAATAGATTGTCCTTGTCGAATCCCTGCGTTCAACATTGTCAAAAAAAATTTGATCATTTTCTAGCTCAAATGTCACAAAAAGCTTTAGAAATACTCACTCTAATACCAATTGTTAGTTGATGTGCACAACTATACAGGGAGGTGAATAGAGTTCTTGAGAACATTAACCAATTTTTGCAACGTGTGCGTAAAAAAAATAAATGAGTGTGTAACGCCCCAAAACATACCCTAGAATTATCAATGAATAATTATTCAATTAATCAAATTTGTTTCGATTAAAATAAATTATTGTTGGGCTTTGGGCCGATACGAAATGTGTTTTGACATCCAATATCAAAATCTGGATAAGTCTAATAGAGATAATCCAATATGTGAACTATTTGTTGTCTTAATTGGGAACCTGAGTACAGACCCAAATCAAGAATAAATGAAGAAATTAATTATGATGTGAACACTAAAATGATTTATTGAAATAAATCATGAGAATAATTAATATGAATTAATTATGAGAACCTTTTTGAATAAAAGTCAATTGAATCAATTTTGACTCTGTCAAAGTCAAACACCCAAAAATATGACGTCGGAAAAAGTATTACAAATAAATGTAAAAATTATATCGTTGGATAGAATTCGTCTGTCTGATCGCAACGGTGCAATCGGAATTCAATTCAGAGAAAGTTGGACCAAAAAGTGTACCCCAACTGGAACCAAAATAGGTCCCAATCATGGAATGGCGTGTAAATCCCAGGGAGTTGATTCTTCCGCCGATTGGAGATCGCCTAAGTGACTTCCTGACTCAGCACTTGTATCTTCTTCCTCTTCCTTCCTCTATTTAAGAAATCCCAACTCCCTCAATTCTCCACTAAATCATCCCAAATTTCTTTCTATTCTGCTGCCCTAAGAGAGAAGAACACACTGATGCTTTCAATTTTGTGAGAGGTCGCCGGAGTTCAGAGCTATTGCTGCCGGAAGTTTCGTTGGAAAATATTCAAAACCTCCATTAAGCTTTGAGGTAAGCCCGTAGATATATCTAATGACTAGAATGTTCATATAAATCGTTTCTACGTTCATAAACGGTTGTTTGGTTGAGTTTTGTGTTTGACATGCTTGAAGAACAAAGAATCATAAACCTTGAAATTGTTGTTAAAACTTCGAATTAATAGTATTTAAATGATCTATGAACATTAGAGAACATTTCTATATAGTTTAATTGAAGTTGGGTTGTTAAAAATGAGTTTTCGAAAATCTGACCCGAGGTTGATGATGAAGCACTGTTGGCTAGTTTGCAGAAAAGGTCGACTGTTCTGACAAAAGGTCGACCGTTTTGCCACAAAAGTCGACCGTCCTTCCACGAAGGTCGACCGTTCTGAGACCAGAAGCTCCCATACCACTGCTACAATAACGGTCGACCGTCACCTGAAAACGGTCGACCGTTCCGAACACAGTTAGCTACGAAAATGCTATTTTTGGGTTCTAAAATCCTATTTTTGATACCAATTGATTATGATTATTATAAAAATGATTTTTCACAATAAAAATGATGTTTTTAACAAACTAAAACATTATGTGATGCATGACAGTAAGTTCGGGTGTTAAAACTCGAATCTAGGCCGCTATTTGTTAATAAATGTTATTATTACTATTATAATCAAACCTTGATAACATCCTGAATAAATGGTTATTATAATGGATAATGGAATATCATTGATAATAAATATTGATTATGATGATCAAATGGACGACCCGAGTAATTATGACTACATAATGATCCTGATTTTATTATGACAAATAAAAATATATGGAATTGAACGAAAGAACTATAAAGATGAAATTATGAATAGATATGTTTGTTTGACTATCTTGAACTAAATTATGATTATGAATTATTGAACCATAATTCAAAATGAATAAATTGATCAACAAAAAAAATGATGTGTATTGTTAAGGATATCTAAAAGACTTTAAGATATACCTATTTGCTAATTGATGTTAAGACTATCTAGAAGACCTCTAGAATAGATCTTAGGATGAACTTATGAAAACATAAATAGTTGATGAATTAGATAAAAATGCATAAACGGGATTCGTAGACTAAGCTAGAGGATTACTCGTTTGGGAATGCCCGATCCAATGTTGATCAATCGCTATATTGTTGTTGCCTTAACTGACTACAGTTAAGTGTCCGAAATCGATTGCCTTAAACTAATGATAGTTTAAGTGTCTGATTGCCTTAACTGACTACAGTTAAGTGTCTGAAATCAATTGCCTTAAACTAATGATAGTTTAAGTGTCTGATCAATAATTGCCTTAAAAGAATTTGGTTATGGAAATTATGATTTGGCCTTAGACTAACAATAGCTAAGAGCATTATTATGATCTGGCCTTAGACTAAGAATAGCTAAGAGCGTTGTTATGATCTGGCCTTAGATTAAGAATAATTTAAGAGCACTATTGAAATAGTATCTGAATTGAATAAAATGTGTTGATATGAACTGAACAATACCAAAACTGTGAATGTCTGAAATGAACATTGTGTGCATGATATCAAATGATTTGATTATGAATTTAGATTCAGTTTATATGGATGTTCGATGCATTAGATATGCTTACTCAACTTTACCGCTGAGCATTTAGTGTGTTTTATTTGCTACACGCAGGTAAACAGAAAGCATAATGTGATCCTGACGGCAGATGGGGCGAGATTGTCGGGATGGATGTGACAAGTTTTGAAATGATTTATGATATATCAATATTAAATTCGCTTCCGCAATATTGTTGAATACTCCGTACTGTATATGTTATGAAAAATATTATTGGGATTAATAAAGTGTGTTTGAAAAGTTTTTACGATTACCAAGTTAAATACTTTAGTCCGAATGGGGTTGCAGACCTGGACGGATTAGGGTGTTACAGAGTGTGCAGCAAAAATAAATAGGTAAAGGCAAAGAACACACGGATGTATACTGATTTACCACCTTTTGCCTTGTCCAGTTTCCCAAAAGACTCTCTATAACGCCCCGAAAATAGGCCTATCAGGGTTAATTAATTGAGAATTAATTAATTACTGAGAAGGACCCAAAAATAAGTGATTTATAAACTTTGTCAATAAATAATGAAAATTATATCGTAATGTAGGGTTTGACTGTCTGATCGCAAAGGTTCAATCGGATTTCAATTTGGAAAAAGTTGGACCAAAAAGTGTACCCCGACTAGGACTAAAATTAGTCCCAATCAGGGACTTGCATTTAAAACCCGTAGGAATCACCGCTCCATCCACTGAGACGCCGAACGAACAGGAACAGTAACTGGGAGGTCATCTCCCATGTCTTCTTCTCACCTCCTCCACTGCATACACCTCTCAAACCTTCACCATTCTTCTTCCAAAAGAGAGAGCTAAGTGTGAGTAGTATTGTGGTGGTGTCAATTTCGTGTGAAGTCGCTGGAGAAAGCCGTGGTGTTTGCCGGAAGATTCGCCGTTTAATCGCCGTAGTCATCGTTTAGCTTCGAGGTAAGCCGTAAATATATCTAGTGACTAGAATGTTCGTATAGATCATTTTTACGTTTGTAAACGGTCGTTTGGTGGAGTTTTGTGTTTGACATGGTTGAAGAACTAAGAATCATAAACCTTAAAATTATTGTTAAAACTACGAACTATTGATACCAAAATGATCTATGAACCTAGGAGAACATTCCTATATAGTTTAATTGAAGTTTGGTGACTAAAAATGGCATTCCCGAAAATTAGCCCGAGGTTAAAGATGACACTGTTCAAAACTACGCGCACAACTGTAGCCAGCTACCGTCTGGACGGTACCTTGATACCACCAGCACGGTAGGCCATATGTAACGCCCTACAAACCGGCCTAGTTCTAAATAAATAAATATTATTTATTTATTGAGACTCATTATTTTAAATTAATAAGTATTGAGATTTCGATATCTTTAAATGGCTTTCCAATGCTAATGTTTTTTAATATAAAAAGATGTTTTAATAACGGACCTCTCAACATTAATTAAATAAATTAATTAATGATTGGGATGGACCTGGAAGTTTGAAAATAAAGTTATTAGAAAAATTATTTGAACATGTCATTAAATTCATTTTGACTGTCTAATTCCAAAAACGCAAATGGAACTCAATTCGGACCCATTCGAGGAAAAAAACCGCGTACCGTACAGGTCAGATTTTACACAACGGAATAGAAATTAGGGAGATAACTCCCCATTTAATTTCCTTCAAAAACCCACGCCACACCCACACCCTTCATTTTCCCCACATGCACAAACCATTATTTCCCATTCAATTGCCCATTAATCCTCATGAATACATATTCAATATAATAGCCCCTTCCTCTTCATTTTCTCTACCACAATTGTAACTCCCACTCACACACTGCACTCTCTTACTCTCCCATTGCATTTTCGGCCAACCACAATAGCTCAAGAGGTGATTCCGGCGAGTAGACGAGGATGAAGAAGAGAAGGAGGAGTTCACGAGAAACCATTCGTCATTCAACGTTGTCAACCGTTCGTTCATTTCGTTTCCGTTTCATCAACCCCATCGTTTAGAGGTGAGTAATTGTCCCCTCTAATTATAGAACATTTAGTTATAATCTATGTCGTTATATTCATAGCAATATCGTACGCAACCTACGTAGAATCTATGCATGTTCGTAGGTTAGCCATCAAAACGTTCACTACGTAAAACTTATAAATATTGGCCTAGGAATCACTAGGAATATATTCATCAATGTTTGTATTATTTTTCTAAAAAGACTCAAGGTGTTAAGGTTGCAAAATGGATCAAAACGTAGCCAAAGACAGAAGACTGTCACCAGGACAGTCGACTGTTACTTCAGACGGTGGACCGTACCCTCGGCCTGTTCAACGGTCACCGCCGGGACGGTCGACCGTCATCCATGACGGAAGACCACAGTGGACCGTCTGTGACCCAGACCCCAGAACGTAGCCCACGGTCGACCGCCGGTAGGGTACGGTCGACCAATTCTCGGGCAGGTTGTAGAATAAGCCCCGTTGACCATATTGACTCAGAATCTGATTGTATGTTTGCATGAAATGATAATCTTCATCATGTATGTTAGTTAATTGATATATTCTTGGCGTTGACCAAAGGTAAATATATCAAGCATTCATCATGTTCATTCTAGACGCATGTCCTAGGTTTATCATCATGTGCATACCGCTGTAGGGAGGTCAGGCTTTCGTGCCCCTACTACAGTGGGCCCTTCGAGGAACCTTTAGGATCCAACGGGTTTTCATCAGGTGGGCTTTTTGTATGTACATGGTAGTCAGGCTACGGCTACCACCCGATTTTTGCTAGTTCACTTGCGACGTTTTGTCGAGCCCGGGTCATTACCGGAGTGCAGGGGTGATCCTGTCAAGTGAGACTAAGTCAGGGGTGTCCCTAATAGCTCAAGTCATGCATCAAGTCATATTGTCATCATGTATGTTTCATGTCACGTCAACATTCAATGTGGTTGTCATCATCATGTATGATTCCCATCATGTCCATATTCAATGTGGTTGTTATTCATTTTGTTATGTGTAATAATATCCCATCAAGTGCAAATTAATCAGTTAGCAAACATGTAGTTTTCCGTACGTTAAGTACATGTATTTATATGTGTATAACCATATGGGTTATCACTTCATGTTCTTTTGTTAGATTCACTCCTCAGCTTTTGCTGAGCGTGTAGTTGTTTTTGCTACATGCAGGTAGACATGACGGTACAGGTGCTAACCCTGGAGGGCAGTGGTGATGGGAGGATGGGCGGCGCACGGACGAGTTTATTAATTAACCATTTAATTAATTAATCATTTGGGCATGAACCCACCATATGTCGTTGTACTTATTTTGGACTTATCAATTTACTTCTGCTTTTCCTCTGCATTTAAATCACACATGTTTTGGAATTAATTCCCTAGCATTTATTTCATCAATTAAAACACAACCGTTTTCATATTAAATAATCATTAATGTTTTTGTAACGGACGGTTCTCGGACTGTCCATGTAACCCTACCGGTTCGTAGGGTCGCGGGTGAACCGGGTCCACGGAAGGCGGGTGTTACACCATACCGCCGGGACAGTAGGCTAGCTACCACCTCCTTCACGAAAATTGCCTTTCTCTGGCGGTACCTAATGACCGGTGGTACCCTGTACTGTCGCCACAGTACCGAGGTACCGTTAGCCGGTGCCGAGGTACCGCGAGGGATACCATCTGGTCTTATATTTTTCCCTAATTTTGAACTATTAAATCCTATTTTTATACCAATCAATTATGACCAATATGAATATAAATTCTGGATATAAAAATGATCTTTTGATAAATCCAAGAATCTTGTTTAATCCATGACAGTAAGATAGGGTGTTAGCACTCGACGCTAGGCCGCTGTTTGTTATTTATGATTATTATTGATTGATGAATATGATAAATATTATTGGTTGATGATAATGATGATTGAATTTTAATATTCTGATTAAAGTAATAATTATGAATGATTAAATCATAACTCAAAATGGACTTATTGATGATTATGAAAATGATGTGTATTGTTAAGAATATCTAGATGAACTCTAAGGTATACCATTTAAAAATTTATGACTATTAAGGATATCTAGAAGAACTCTAAGATATACCTACGTGACCAATTCATAATTCGGGGTTAAAACATACGTACTGGAACCAGACCGGATATCACCTGCCCGGTAGTTCACTGTTCGGTTGGTACGTGATCCACAAGACTCATAGGGTGGATCATTGATTCCCGTGTTCTGCCTTAAACTATTTATAGTTTAAGAGCCCGGTTAGAAATTGTAACACCCCAATCCGTATAACCCGGAATTACACAAATTAATGTGAAACGAGAGTAAAATAAAAATTTCGTTTGACATTTGAAAATGACAATTACTTATAAATATCAAATTTACAGACTCTGGATCGCGACCCTTTTAAAAAATATTTTCAGAGTAATGCGGAAGTACAATAATAATCAAATCATGACACATTTAAAAATCTGATGATCAACATTTGCCTGCCATCCTTGCATCTCCTCTGACTCAATGCCATCCGGGAGTGGTTCCATCATTGTCTTCTTGTTACCTACGTGTAGTCAACGAAAAATACAAACTACACGCTCAGCGAAACTGCTGAGTGGTACCACGCTAGAATTGTAGAATGATTCTCAGACATATACATATACATATATATACGTCCACAAAATGTATAGTAACATTCATGATATGACACATATTATCATATGGTCAATTTGATGAATCATGATGATAAATATTTAATGATAATTACATGATGGCACATTTAATCAATTTGCTTGTGAGGATGATTACATGATACCTATGTAATGAATATACTTTTTCTTGATGATGATTGCATGACACCTATGTAATCAACGTAATTGTACTTGATGATCGTAACATGATGTATGATCCTATAACTTGCAAGGACACCCTTGCGCTATGAGATTCGCCCATTTGGTACGACGAACTCACGCGACCTTAGTCTCACGAATGAGGTGAGACTAGAAAAATAGGTGGTACTCGAAACCTGAATACCATGTACGTACACTAAGCCCAGAACGGGTGATGTCGGACTAGTAAGTCCCGCACATCACGCTATAAGAGACGCAATTACGCATGATCTCTTACGCATGCATATGATATGATATGCTACAATATGTGTGATGAAATGAATGATATGACATGAACAATTTGTAAACAATATGAATATATAATCATGCATTAGTTTATTTGGATGAAACATGATTAAAATATCATTTAATTAAGCTACGGGGCTCGGAACGGTCGACCGTTTGGCGCGACGGTCGACCTTGGTCTTCATCAGGT